GCACCACTTTCCCTAAGGCTGGCTCTGCAGCCAGATTTTAAAGGGACCGCACTATCAAGTCAATGAGTGTTAGGTGCCTAAATACTATTAAAAATATGGGGTGTTGATGCATTAGTACTGCCCATAAAGTAATCTCCAGTTTTGATGCTAAATGGTTAAGTAAACAACACTGCATTTCTTTATTCTGTCACTAGGAAAAAAGAGGTCCAAAATATGTTTTGAGCCAGTAAACATGCTCACAAAACCCTCTAAGCATGACAAGTCTGGCTAGCAAATATAAATTTTCCAGGTGCTTTAAGTTCTTTTTTTTCTGTAGGAATATTAAGCAGATATTTGCTTTTGAATGGTATGATCGTGAAAAAATATTGAACCAAAAGATAACGTATTGTCCAACACGTTCTGAATGTTCACACCAGAAGCATCTAAGGTCATCTTTATCATGGTAGTTATTAATTTTGCAATCTGTTTTTCTTTTACAATTTACATTTTAAATGGGAGATGAAGCTAAGGGATATGTGTCATTACCTCTGAACCAGTAAGGAAGCAGAGATTTGCATTTGCTCTGATTAGCTAAGAAGTGAATAATGGGCTTCACCATTGCAGCCAAGCAACAGGCAGTCACTTGTATGTACAATTTGAGCGGTTACAATGGTTCCATCGCTCCGTATTATTTATCTATGAGACATGCCTGTTTCAAGAACTCATGATCTAGATTTTCTTTCTAATATTTAATTCAAGTTACAGTTCAGCAGCCTTTAGGAGTTTTGCTATTGACATCACTGGGGCCAGGATTTCACCCAATGTGTACAGCAAAACTTAAATCGATTATAAATCCTATAGCCACACCTGCCCTCTGTTCACTGTTACTCCTGTCAAAGAAGGTTTGCACAGAGAGAATATTGGTATTGAGCTTTCTTACCACTATCCTAATCCTGAAAACACATGCTCACTTTCCACATGTGAGTAGCCTCGCTGAGGTACCCTTACTTTTTAATTATACTTACCTCCCTTGTCAAGTGCTTTGAAATTAAGGGGTGGTGAATAGCATGATGAAAGAGGTCAGCATTATCATTATATCACCTACAGGTCAAAGTTTATAAATACACTTTTACATTCTTCTCTCTCTTAATCAGTAGTATTCCCTGCTTATAATTTGGTTGCCTTGCCTATTTTACCACCAAGGATTATACCAGTATTTGAATCTCTCTCTCAGCACATAGCTAACAGATTTCTAATGCATTATGCCATTAAAAACTGGAGTGTTTACATCTATATTTTATTACCCATATAACTCATACATTTTCAAATAAGTTTTAAAGGGATAATCTCAGACTACATTTTATTCTCCTGTTTGCTAGCTACTGTTATTTATCTAAATTGCAAATTACTTCTAGCTGAGAATGAGAGAGTGTTGTTTGCGGTATGTTTGCCTTCAGAATTTCTCTAAGCAGCGTTACAATTTTCCTTACATGGCCTGTCAGTGTAGCTATCCTGTTAAGGACATATATAGGTAGGCAAATTGTAGACAAAAAACAAACTTTATCAAGGAGACTTTAGCAAGCGTCATCCCAAAGTCCACAAGCAACTCACTTGAGAAACGGTCAGTACTCTTATTTCACCATTCTGCTCAGTGAATAAACACTAAAATAACATGAATATCAGTTATGAACCAAAAATTCATTATGTCTGGGTAAGCACCTTGGTAGTTGTAGAACTCAGGTTCACTCTATAGCTAGAGTTTCACTTAAGAGCCCATGGTTGCTTTACAGAGATTTTTATCTGCCCTGCTTTCCCAGGCCACAGGACAAAAAGCTTTATACATTTATTTTATAATAAGTAACTAGTAATCCCTGGGATAGCAAACAGGAAAATCTAGTCAGTTATGGGCTGCACATGCAATGCTACATTTAAACCAACTCTTCAACCAGCTACATGTAATAACTCAATCTAACTATTCCAGAAGTATGATGCACACTACAGAGCTAAGAAAATGCACAACCCAATGCAGACAACAACATCTTCCGTTTGAAAGAATAAATCAAATGTGGGTAAGAACAATACATTCTTTAGAGAGTGGGGGTCACCTTGGCTAGGGTAAAGCAACTCTGCTGAACTGAGATGAAAGGCGTGATTCTGCTCTCACTGATATCTGCCTCAGTTGAGAATAACTCCACTGAAGTCCTGGTCGTTACCCATCTAAAACTGGGCTGTTGGGAAGCACCAGATCCAAAAAGCCAAATATCTTTTAACAAGCAAGAAATCTAAACACAGCAGGGAAGCTCCCTTTTTCCTGCTAGAAATGTTAGAAATACAGGGTCAACTGCTTATTGCCATTGCCGGAAACTGACCCTGTGGGATACACCCTCGTGATCCTAACATATCATCCCTGCTCAAAGCTGTTATTGAAGAATAACACCTCTAAGGTCCCTGCTAATATTCCCTGAGGGAAAACTGTTTCCTGACTTCACCATTGTCATAGCCAATGCAGCAATTTCCCTTCTTGTCTGGACTGGATCCACTGAGCTGCAGCAGATTACATCATGTTCAGAAAAACCCAGAGGTACCTTCAAGTGAACAGGAGGTGCTTGGTGACATCCCCAATGCCTGTTCTAAGGAGCTGCCAACCCGAAAAGCCAGCTCTCGGCTGGAGCAGTGCAGTGCTCTTCCCCGCTAGAATGAATCATGAACTGTTGCCAGCTTCCCCAGATACAAACATGTTTACAAGCTGCGGGACATCGACTGAACGAAACCTGCACTGAGGACCACCATCAGGCAGTTTCTTGCCATATGCAGTCACGTAGCATCCGTGTATACTTTCTGCTGTCACTCTATGTAGCTTTCAGCTAGATTCTTTCTCTCAGGAAACCAGTTTTGGCTGGGTCTTTGCTTAAGGCCAATTTCACAGTGGTGTCAACCGTATACATTACTCTTCAGGTCACCTAACAACTTGCACATTGTTCCTGTGTGCTATTGTATAGGTGCCGTGTGTCACTGCAGAAGGAGCTGTGACAAGAAGTGTACATACTGGATCTATACTGTGTGCAGCCTGCAGGGGAGGCATTCTGTTGCTTTTCATTCTTTGTTTACATTTTTTTTATTCAAGGAGTAAAACCTTTAGTGCAGAGATTTTATCTTTATACTTGTTTGTGAAGTAACTTGCATGTTGTATTATTTATATAATAGCAAAAAGAGCCTTGGGTCTTATTTTTAGGAAGAAAGAGAGTTACTAGTTATTTTGTCACCCAAGAATAATGAGCACTTAACCCTGAGCTTTCTATTCAAATATGTTTTTACCACAATAGTGTTACCTCTTATTATATTAGAAATGAGAAGGAATTCAGGCTGCATGAGCTAAGGACATACTATGGTTTATCTTTACAATTTCCATTTAAATGACTTCAATAGAAAATATTTTTTCTCCTTCAAAATTAAAATTTTCTAGGAATACTTGCTCTCTTTTTTAAAAAAATGTTTAGTTGTTAAATAAAAAAAATTAAGTGGCAAAAGCAAAAATACAGTGTGCAGACCCCCCCCCCCCCCCCCCCCCAATATTTAGAACCAGCTTGCTTAAACCAAACAAACTAAAAAAGCAACTTGAGCAAACAAGTACATTTTCTTTTACTTCTTGCAGGGAAAAATCAAAATAGGTCTTTTGTACAGTAAAATCTTACCTGCATTATGTTCATCCATTGAAAAGGCTTTATTTTCCATGTAGCTTCGAGGAAGTTGTATATCTTCCTCAAAAGCAGTCTCCCGCATTCTTGGTTGTGAAGTATCAAAATAATTGGGTGTGTTTTCTTGCTGTGATGGAAGAATGGTGCAGTGAACTTCTGGGATAGCGTGAAAAATAACAAACACCCAACCACTAGACACCAGTGCAATTGCAAGAGTGGGATCATTCCATTTGTCTTTTCTCTTCAGTTCAATATTACCAAACAGGTACATAGTCATCCAAGCTACCCAAATCAGAATTGAGAAAAAAACTGTTATAATGAGGCATACTCCATTTTTCTTCCACTTCTTAAATTTTCCACAGAGAGTGAAGAGAGACAAGCCCATGGCTACCACCATCAAGAACATAACATAAATCAAAGCCATAACAAAATCCATTGGCTCATAATTGCAGGCCAATTTCTTGTCTCTCACAATTGTCAGTATCAGCCACTCTGTTGCAATAATGACTTGGACCAGCATCAGACAGATTGCCATGCCAGCCAGATGCCAGCCAGATGGACTTTTACCATGTCGAACTAGCCTACGTAGTCTCCAGGCTTGAGCTAGCAAGCATGAGAAGCACAAGGCAAAGATAACTCCCCACAGAAATCTTCGGATGGAACATAATGTTTCATCTTCTTGTATGATGAATGCAAACGTCAGCCCAAACAGTCCTAGAGTCCCAAAAAGAAAGAGGAAATGCATTCCCAGTGGGCTTTTCTTCTCTTTGTCCTTGATGAATGGCAACCTCACTAGCAAAATCAGCATCAGCAGCAGTGTTGTCAGCACTCCTGCTCCAGCAACGGCCTCCACTACTATTCCCCAGATAGCATCCAGGTCACACAGGTAAACATACTGGGGGAGAAGATCCAGTCCACATCCTCTAGATGTACTCGAGTTTTCAGAAGAGCCATAGCTGATCACGAAGAGGAGGAGGAAAACGATGGCTGGGTGGGTTTTCATTTTTCTGTCTGAGACAATGAGATAAAGTGACAAAATAATTGTTTAACTGCCTGCACATTAGAAAACATCAGCTACAACCCTTTTTAGGAAACCTTCTGGCAACTGGCAGTGGAATTAGCATGCCACTGTAAACGGCCTGGTCCAGTTGCACATGTTCTTGCATTTGAATTGATTTTCAGGTTTCACTCCTCCCCTCCCCACATTGTATCCAAAATATCAGATGATTCCCTTTTTGCTTCTGCAACAAACTAAAGACATTTCCAAACACAACATCTGGAAATAGGCTAAAATATAGCCTTCGCAATGCTGAAAATATTTACACGAGCGTGAAACTGGGAAGTACCTTCTGTTTATTTAATAGTCAAGTGAAATTGAAATAATTGGAGTAAAATGTTTGTTAGTTGCAGGGACTTTGGAACCCAGGGGCTAATTAGCGTATAAAGAAATATCAGAATCAGGCCACTTATCTTATATCCGTGTAAAGCATACAGGTTATTCCTAATTAACCTTCAACAAAAGATCTGGGCACCCAGGTTTACACCAGTGTAATCTGACCTGGCACGAGTGTAAGAAAAGCAGCAGACATTTGAGGTGTGGTCCTCCTCAATTTGCTAGACCCCACTGTAGCAGTACACCAGGGGTAGAAGTGTACGGGTGTAAATTACACCAGCAGAGGAGTTGTATGAAAACAACTGGCTCAATGATAACCAGCTCCCCTGCCCCCTAGTGACAAGGTGCTATAATAACACCTACTGTGGCAGCTGCCCGGGGAGAGCTGGTCACCTGTCTGCTCCAGATGTCATTTAAACTGAGGTACAAAATGGATACAAGTTACACTGTTGGCTACCATGTGGTGTGTCCAGGCCCCAGGGAAATGAGAATAAATTCTAGGTTTTTTGCTCTATTTTTACTGTTTATAGGCACAAACAAAATAACTCCAAAAATACTGTCTCTCTCCTCTCCCCCAAAACCTTTTGATTCAGGTAGAATGACACAATCCTCAGTCCAACATGCATCTCCTCCCACAAATAGTCTCTCCTTCTCTTTCCTCCCCAAACTCAGGTCTTCCATTGCATTTATTAAGGGTGAGGCTTAGCTGCAAAATGTGTGTGTACCATAACAACAGTACACATGCAGCACCATTAATCGGCAAAACAGAAAAAGAATGACTCGTTGTTCTTAGTAAACATAAAGCCATCCAAAACAAGACAAACAACAAAAATGGAACATCATTGTCCGTACTTTCTTGCAGCAAACAACTTTAAATTCTTTCCGAAGATACCACACCATACACAAAGCACCTTCAGAATGAAAAGGTTCTGGCCAGATTCCATTTTAATTATATTCTGCCTTTCTGAATTTTCCATACAGTTTTAGTTGTTCTCTACTTTCATATGTTAAACAAAACTGGGCACAAATCCAGTTGTTGAAAATCCTTTGCAAGTCACCTTTAAAGCAACCTTTCCACCCCAGTATTGGCTACAGTTCAGCGGATGGGTAAAGTAATCCCAAACAGGACACAAGTTTTGCTACTTTCAGGAGAACAGCTCTCATGAGCACGTTTAGAATGAGACCCACAGTTTACAAGACCATTAGAATGAAAGCCCTGTGTAATGGAAACTGTAACATTCCTCATGCACCAATATATCTTCATGTGATATATCCAACATATATGCCAAGAAAAAAGCTATCAACAAAGAGAATTCTTTTGGAAGCCAGGCATGTGGCCTAAAACTGACACCTGTATAATCTTACAGATGATTTAGTAACAATTATAGCCATGTTTTGGGACAGATCGAGCAATTTTCAAAAGTAATGTCTGTACCCTTTCACTGACCAGTTAGCAAAATATCCGTTTTAGATCTTTCCCAAGATCCAGGTATTGGAATAATAATGTTTTCTGTTGGAGGTACCAGAAGAGTAAATGTGAAAATAGAAAAGCATAATTCTTTTTCTAGTCTTTAACTATAGTAGACCACAAATACTATAAGAATTAATCTCAAAGAGTCACAATTAAGTAATACGGTCTGTAGGCTGAACAAACAGAAAGCAAAATGTACAACTGTCTTTCCAGTTACTGACATTATGATTCATTCCCATTGTTCCATGAAGTGCTCCATAGCTGCTATTATCTCACATATGCGATTGATCTGGGTAATGAGGTACTGCAATACTACTAGTGATTATTTTTCTAACAAACTGTAGTGTCAATTGGTAGAAAGAGTTTGCTATATATGATAGATTTCTAAATGATTCCTTTGCCAAAGTCCTTATTGTGGTGAGTGGTAAAATCCTTAAGAAGCATACGGTTCACAATGAATTGAGTTTACTTTTAAGTGAACAATTGTTATGTTGAATTCATCCATTGGTCAATGAATACAGACTGAATTGGAAGAAAACACATTCTGAGTGCCACCCTGCAGTCCTACGCATATGAGCAGTATGTAAAATGCAATCTCATTGACTTGAAAGGGTTTATTCACATGAGAAAATACTTCTCTCATGTGTAAGTTTTGCTAGATGAGGCATCTGGTTGGTTTTTCCCTAATATCCACTGGGTCTAGGCAGAGAAGGCTATGGAACTCATTCAGCAGGGAATGAAATACAGAGAAGAAAATCTTGACTGGTCCCATGAGACAATTTCATGCCAATAGTCCATTTGTGCCAGCGTGCCCTGCTGCTCTTGAGAACTGGGGTCAGCCTCACACCAGGCTTCTGTGACTTGACCATTCTGGAAGCTAAGCGGTTGTCCTCTTAAAAAATGTACGTCTTGGGAAGCTGGAGCATGTCCTTAATGTTTCACAGGCTACTCTATTGCCAAGTAGTACTGAATCCCAGTTTAAGGTAGTAAATATTTGCATATTCAGTTATGCCAGAAAGTGGAGGAAACGCATTTCAGGGATACGCCTTGATATTACAAAAGGAAAGCAAAGAAACATTTAGCTACATATTTAAATTTCAGAAGCATAAGCAGAAAATGCAGGGCTACCAGTCAGGTTTTGAGAACAATCAGGGCACCACAGGAAAAAGTCCAAGAAGTAATGGATCACGTGGGAAATTATTCAAGACACCTTCTACACTGAGGTCTCCTGGGTTGGAAATAAGCCAATGAACAGCCCTTTAAAGGAAGGTCCCTTTAAATTTTCATTATCCCATCGTTCCAAATTAGGTTATAAATACACTAAATTAGTTTTCAGTGCTAGCTCTGTTGATTATTTGCTGTTGAAAGAGTCAAGGGCAATAAATTAAGTACAAGTATCTCCAACTCTTAAGATATTTTCCAGTTTTCTAGTTACTTTATTCATGTCATGTAACCCTTATGTGATTGAACTATTCTAGGACAGTCTGTTTCCATGGAGATGGTGCTGCATGGGTAAGCAGTCATATTGTCAGCCCATCATTTATTTCCTGCTCCTATTTAGATATTGTTGTGGGGAGTAGGTACTAAGCTCTGGCTATCCCCCATATGGGAAGAGTCAGATTTCTTTGGAGAGGGGCATCTGCAGCAAATAAAATCCCAGAGCATGCCAGAGACATCCAACCGTAATGGGAGTTTGCTCAAGTTGCTTCCATATGTGAAATGACATTTGAGAGTTGATACATTCTCATTTGGGACTGCTAGTGGATTTTCTTAGTGTGAATTCTTGTTACTGTCAAACTAGGCTGGTGTAAGATACTAGACAACACTAGATTTTGGTGGAGAAATCTACCGCTTGAGAAACTTTGCTACTGGCAGCAATAGTATCAGCAGCCAAGATCAGTGTTGATCAGGGATACATAATCCAGTGGTAAAAAAAAAACCCCAAACCCAAACAAACAATAATGCCCTATCTGCTATGAGTGCCCTCACTCTTGCTGCTGTTCAGGAGGCTGCACTAGTAATAATGCAATGTTGGGGAAATGGCACAAAAAACAAACAATCGAGAGAGGTGTCAGCCAGGGGTGCTAAATTATCTCCAGTGAAGTTGAGTGGGGCAGTTATAACAGAAAGAAGCAGACTCGAGTATTATTGACAACAGACTCTTCCCCAAATTAAGGCTGACCCAGCATATCTGTGACGCAGCAGGGATCTTGGGTCAGTACAAAGGAATCTGCGCACTGTGCGAGTGACTAGAAATATATTTACTGAAGAGCTGGCAACTTAAGGCAAACATAGAATGGCCTGAATATTGGGAGAGAGAGATCCAAATTCTGCTCTCAGTTACATGAGCAAAAAGCCAGAGTAACTAAGTGCAGATGTATCTGACTTATCTGATGAAGGGAATAGTGTCTGAATCACTCCAGTGATTGCAGAGCACAACTAACCCTGCACTGAAGGGCTAAAAACAGTTATACAAAAGTTGTCACATTTTATTTAAGAATCTCAGTCAGGCTGACCTTTCATAGCTAACGTAGCTGTGCCAGATCCTTAGCTGATTTAAATCTGCACAGCTCTACTGGCTGCAACTGATGATGTGGACCAGGGGTGGGCAATGTTTTTTGGGGAAAACATCCACAACCTCAACTTGTAAGATGCTGGTGTGCCAGGAGTGGATGGCAGGGGTGTTATGAGGGGCCCGATCCTTGTTGCGGCAGTGCAGCCCGTCCCCCTCGCCTGCTGTCCACCCTGAGGCATGCGTTCCCTGCCCCGCCATGGAGCCTAGGGCTGGCTGCACTAGGGCTGCACCGGGGTCCACGGAGCTTGGGCCTGGCTTGGTGCTGGTGGCAGGTGCGCATGCGCCTCTAGGCAGACAGCGAGGAAGGGGCTGGGCTGCACTGCCACAGCAAGGATTGGGCCCCTCATGGCTCTCCCACTATCTGCCCTGACACACATGTGCCAAGCAAAATGCCTTTGCGTGCCACACTCTGGCACACGTGCCAGGAGTTGCCTATCCCTGAGCTGGACAATAAAACCTCATATAAGAGACACTGCAGCGTACTGCACTTTTTCTAAATATAGAAATTGCTTACTAACTAACTTTTAAGCCTGAATCAACACAATCTGCTTCACTAAATGGTTACATCCTTTACTACTATTAAACTGTTTAGATTTGTAAAAAAATCAATGTCATACTCCTGCAAATACTGCTGTATGAAACGTCTAACCACCTGATCACGAACAGAGAGAATACAGCCTTATAATTTTAAAAAAAGCATCCGTGATGCAAACAGCAATCCTGGTCTGTTGTATAGCAGTACAAGAATCCTTCGCTGTTCAAGTTTCAGAAGAAAATGCCATCAGCCTGAAGTGTCATGAGTTAGAAATTAATCACAACATAGGACGTGCGCCAGGTCCTTTTCCATCTGATCTGAGGAATGAGCTTCAGCACCGATAAAAGAGCAGCAACCGCCAAGCCGTGATCAGGCTGCTGAAGAGAATAATATTTCCAGAATAATAATTAATAATGGGATTGCGCTTTGTATGCAAAAACCCCGCTGTGATTTAGACTTGCTCTGCATAACAACACACCATGTTTTTTTTACAGCTCAGCACCTCCACTGCTGTAGAAATCATGACCCCATTCAAAAAAGGACACGTAGAAAAACCACAGCTGTAATTCAAAAATAACAGGGAGTGTGGAGTATAATTTGAAATGATCCTTCTACTAATAGAGGTATTTTGAATTTCTTTCTGTTACCTTCTGCTCATCATCCATCGGTGTCTAGACACCGGCACTTGGAAACTCTAAGAAGCATTATTTGATTTAAAATTATGCGCTGGATTGGTTTCTACTTGTGATAGTCCTCAGACTGTCTCTATTTATGTAAAAACTTAATGACTGATGTTCCCTCCCTCCGCCTTCCCCTCTGGCACAAGGCTGGCAGCGATGTCTTCTGATGGAGGGGGGGAAGCCCCAGCACAGGCATCTACCACAGGTAAATCATGTGTAAAACATCGGAGCAGAGCTGCAGCAGTGATTGAAGTCTAAGTGCTTTGATTGAACACACAGGAAATCCTGTTATCCTCAGGATAAACATTAGATCCGAGGTAAACAAAGGGTTCAAAGAAGGGCTAAATCCCGCCGTCGTTTGGCTTCGTGCGGATGTGACAGAGAAGGGCCGCGGGCTCGGGCTCGGGCTCGGGCTCGGGCTCCGGCCGTGCCGTGCCGTGCCGCGCTCGCCCGCCCCCCGCCCGACAGCACCAGGT